TTGTCAAAATAAAAGTCCACCTGCTACTTTTAGCTTTTTAATGCACATGTTCTTAATACCGAAGGGAAAGTGTCCCCTGCGTCCTCCCCACAATCTTCACCCATGTTTGATTTGTAAGAATATTCTTGAAAAAATAAAACTAATAATACATTTTTGAGAAAACAAGACGTTCATGGTGCAAAAGTAGACAAAAGTTATTGATAAAATGGAGAAAATCTTGTGGTGAACTTTAACATACCTAGCAGAGAGACGGATTCACTCAACTCATGAAGCTCTAGCAAAAGTTCAGTCAGGAATTCTTTTCAAGCTCAGGCTCAGCTGATTCCCAATCAACCAACAGCGCAGTGACACACATCCTCTGTCAGCCTATCATCTTACAACTCCTCATTTTAAATATGGTTAGATCTCTGCCGTAGTTCTTTCATCAGCCTCACACGCTTCATCAGCCATCAGCCTCAGAGTCAGCAGCCACCACCACCACCAGTGTCTGGGCTCCATGAAGGAGATTTATCCTGCTGCTGCTCAGATGTCCCTCGATCACAAAATATCTCCCTCTGGTGTCCAGGTGCTAAAGACTTCTGTTAAATCTTAATCAGCACAAATCATCTGTTAATCTGTACGCTCATATTCTGTTTCAAATATTATCTTTACTTCATTCTTATGTCTCTCCTGATTGAACTACCAGTCTGATCCCTCACAGCTGAAACATCACAGATCCTTTTGGACCCTGGTTGTCTCCCTCGCCCTCTCCGTGCGTGATCTGTCACAGCTTTCACAGGATTATCGCCCCAAGTTAACAGGGTCTTAAACAGTTCACTGGCACCATGAATCGTGCTAGGAATTAGCCACCTGCTACATCGGCCAGCCACAACCATGTAGCAAAACTCTACCCACAGGAAGTGACCTCCGAGGGGGGGGCATAAAAGATGGCGTCAAACAAGGTTGAGGTCGCTCGCCACCTCACACACAGTGCTCAGCAGGAAGTGTGGCTTCCTTGAGTCGTGGCTACAAGGGCAGAGGTCAGGGATCGGGATCAGCAGATTGTGTTACTGCACCCAGATGTGGCCGAGGACAGCGATGGCTCCAGCCTGGAGGTGGCCCAAATGTAGCGTGACTGCAGAGACAGGAACTTCTATTTTAAGAAATGCCATTCCTCTAATAATACAGGAGCGTATTGATCTCTTTTTAAAACCTGTATTCTGTCAAGGCTTTGCTGAGCGTGCTTGCTATTTTTAAACTTCACATTTACGCACTTTCCTAACTTGAGACATCACTTTAACACTTTTCCTGTGAGCTACAGACAGAGCTGCTTCACAGGAGAAGTTTGAACGTTCCTCCACTGCAGAATAACTAAAGGAGTGTGCATGGGGATGTGTATGCACTATGTATGGATCATGTGAGCCTCAGCGTGGCTCTGTTGTGGAGCCTGTTTATATTCTCTGTAAAATATTTCCAGTGGATCTGCATGTGTGCTTTGCTTCCTCACTCGCCTGTCTGCCCTGTCAAGAGTGATGAGCTTGAGAATGAGAAACAGGTGTGTGTGAAACGTGCAGATCATTCCTTTATCTCTCTTTCACCCCCCGATCCCGACCTCTCTGAGCTGCTCGTGTTGAGCTGTGTTTTATGACAAAGGGGTTGAGGGGAGGAGGGTGAGCAGAGAAAACACAGAAGCAGAGAGGATTGCTGAGAATAAGCAGAACAGCAGCGTGATGCTTAAAAAAAATTGCCCACAGCTGATCAAAAAATAGGTTTCAATTAGAAAAGCAGCAGGAAAATAAATAAAAGCATCATAAAAAGGCCCATTTAAATAAGTCATGTGAATGTTATGTTTTCTGAACGCCACGGTTCACATGTAAGGAACATTATCTGGTGTTATTTTGATCTAAGTGCATCACATGTGACTTGTAACAACATCAAAGGGGATAAAGCTGCTCAGATCATGTGTGATATGTTGTAATTGTGAGGCTATTAAAGGCTAAAAGTCCTCTAAGATAATGTGTGAAGTGCACTGTTGAGATTCATTAATCAACAACAGGAGAACAATACTGATTAAGAACAATCAATCCACTCACACACTGGATTGATATCAGGCTGGTTAACAAGTAGCACAAACAATTAGCATGACTGGAACCACTTTCAAACTATTCAATAGCCTGGGCAACTTATCAGTAATCAATCCTAAAATAAAATGAATGAAAAAAAATGGTGATCCTCTGAAGATCACCACAGATAGCGCCACCAGCAGGACAGAACTTTAATTTGTGGAACAATTTTTTATGACCAAACACTCTAGTTATCCATAGTAGCCTACTTTGTGTTTAGTGCAAACTAGCGAATGTGACCTGCTAACACACTAAACCAATATATGGTGAACATGTTAAACAAGTTACCTATTAAATGTTAGCATGTAAGCATTGTCACTGGGGGCAGCGTTAGCATACTGACTTTAGCGTTTAGCTCAGGACGGCCTCACAATGCTGCCAACATGGCTGTACTCCTAAGGCCCTGACACACCAAACAACATCAAAGAACCAGTAGTGATGAAGGCCAGCTGTTGCGTCAAGTCACCTCACGTTGGCTCACATTGCCTCGGGAACTGCGCATTGGTTCGACATCCCATTGTTCCGACCATATTAAACTCATTGTGGGGTGTCGGTAGCGTAGTGGATAGTGCCGGCGCCCCATGTATAGAGGCAATGCCTCGTTGCAGCGGTCGCAGGTTCGACTCCGGCTTGTAACCCTTTGCTGCATGTCAACCCCCACTCTCTCTCTCTCATCTCATTTCCCTCTGTCCTGTTCATTAAAAAAATAAATCTAAAAAAAAAAAAAACAACTCATTGTTCCGAAGTCCGTTCCGAAATCATCATGATGCCCTGTGGTTAAGGTCTGGTTAGGTTTAGGCACAAAAACCACTTGGTTAAGGTCAGGAAAAGATCATGGTGTGGGTTAAAATGAAAAAGAAAGTGACAAACACATAAGCCGTGAGCCTGCTCCACCTCAAGCCGGTCGCGGCGCACCATACGCCCGCCGCGAGTCGTTCAGCACCGCAGACAATCGGACTAATGGGATGTCGAACCAATGACATGGACCCCGTTGCCTCAAGTCGCCAAATAGTTGCACCTAAACACACTGCAAAGACTACAGTAAATGACCAACTAGCATGTATGTTGTGCGCCTGCAGGAGAGGTAATAACTCTCCATTGTAGCAGGCGGCAGTAGCCTGCATTTAGCATTCAAAAAGTTAAACTAGAAGATCCACGAGATGCTAGTTAGCCAGTTAGCACTTCAACAACACAACTTGATGTTAAAAGAACAGGATATTTACTGTGCACTAGCAAACAATATATCACAAACAGTTACAAACTGTTTCTGCTAAAGAGCTCAATGGCTCAAATAACAAGTTTGTTTCGATCTCATGACCTCCTGACTTCAGTCGTTTGTTTGCTTTCCTCACTTCTGTTTCTCTTCTTGTGCACTGAGCTGACTTGCTAATCAGAGTGATTTCATTCACAGATGGACTCCGCTGACTCAGATTCAACATACCAAGCGCAGAGTAGTGCTAACAGTGCAGGACAATTAGGGCGACAGACGATCCGACATTGACCGACATAACTGTCAGCTTGGTGTGTCAGGGCCCTTAGTCCTTTACTTATTCTCAGGGTGCTTTCAGACCTAGAGTTGTCTTGCTTTGGTCTGAATCAGGGACTAATATTGTTAAAAAGTTGCATAATAGCCTAGAGTTGGTTAATGTTCTCACAACAGCATTTACAAGCAGACCAGATAAAATGCCTTGTGCGAGAAAGCTGCTCATGATTGGTCAGATTTTCCATGCAGGAAAAATCCAATAAGTAAACAAAGCTTTGGAGAAGAGTACACTTGCAAGATAAATGTGACACTTTCTAATGTCACAATGGAGGGACAACTACGCAGGTTGATTTTAGCGCTGCTCATCATGGACTATATTGCTGTCATTGTTCATTTTAGTCAAACCATACAGTTTGAAAACGAGGCGCGGCTCCAACTAGAAAACAATGTTTTGATGCATTGGATGTGCTGAATGTGCATATTAAGGCAGTACAGGAGGAGGTGCACATTAATAATCCTCCAGGACTGTAACATGCTCATGTTTAACTCAAACAATGTGTCATGTGACTGCAGTTGGTTTAGATCGAGGTCGGAACACATTCTCACCACAAACGAACCGCACCAGAGAGACCATCTCTTCAAGAAGGTCTCGGTCTGGTTGTTTTGGTGTGCACCTGAGTGCGATTTCTGTGTTCACTCTCGCCCAAATGAACCACACTTAGGAGGCAAACTTGAGTTCGAACCTGGAGTGTGAAAGCAAAGCACCCTCAGTTATTGGTAAACTTTTTAAAGTTACCACTTCAGACATAGCTACTTTATAAAGACTTCATAATTTAATAAGTTGTTAATGTCAGATTTGACTTATGTTGTTGGAAAATAAGCGACAGGCTGCAATTGAAGGGGTCTTAGATAGTAGACTACATTACTGTAAAACCATATGTTAAACGTAAGTAGCCTATTAACATAAAAGTAAGAAAGTATTCCTGATGAATTAAAGGATTTGCTCACAATTTGGAAACCCGAGTTATCATTGTAAATGGTTTGTATGATCCACAGTACATTATAACCAATTCATTAACTATTAACTATTTAAAGAACCATTAGGTGGGACTCTAAACGGTATAGGCTACTCTATAGAAATATGTAGCTACTACACTGCTTTAATCAGACACTTGATTTGATTAAACTTCTTCCACTTCTACAGCTGATACTGTAATAATGTTTTACACTACCCCCAGTCCACAGCCCCCCTTGCCACTCCACTCAGCTCCCAGCAGGCTACACAGGAGTCAGCTTACACAGCCTCATACCTGCCCACCCCCCTCCTTCTCCTCCTCCTCCTCCTCCTCCTGTAGGGACTCCCTCTTTATCGTGCTGCTGCCATGCCGCGGAGCGTCAGTGTGCCAGCAGTCCCCGCAGAGCGCGGAGCGCAGCGCCGTCTGTCACAGAGAGGAGCTTCAACACCTTTACGGGATTTGAAAGACAACAAGAGTGGATAAACTGAACTGAACAAGGTGAGCGAGGGGCTGACTGTCATTTTTCCGTTACAAGTGCATGTGTGAGTCCAGATTTATTGGTGAAGTTTTCCGGGTGGATTCGGGTTTGAATTGATTCCTGCGATCAGTGCGCTGCGTGATTATTCTTCACTTTTCCTCCGTGCTGCTCCCGTGATGTGGCACCACTGTTTTACAGCTGTGCTTGGATGAAAGATCGTTAAATTAAGTACCTTGTGTGTTGTGCGCTGCTGAAATGACAAATAACCAACAGCCTGGTAACTGAACTGACCTCATAACGCTGTGGCACAGAGTGGATGTGGCACTCAGACTTCATGATAGGCTACTCAGTGTAAAATCACAAGTTAAATCCCAAATTAAATCCACTCTTAGAAATAGTACACGTGTCTGCCGTTTAAAAATTTACAACATGATTACTTCAGTTTGTCTTCTGCCTGAGATCTTTATGGTGTGTTTATGGCCAATGCCCTACAAGGCAAATGTTCCATGGCAGTATGTCTGTGATGGATGTCAGGCTTTCTGTAGCTGGATGATCCATAAACAACGCACCAGGTTTATGGATCGACCCAAAACATTTTTTGAGAAGTTGACAAGTGCAGCAATTCATCATCTGCCATGTAAACCTATATGTGGGCTCACTGGTTTAACTCAGCCTTGCAGTCCAGTCAGTAATAGCTGCACGGTTTGGAGAGATGGCTGACCACTGTGCTCTGATTAAAGCAGATACAGTTGACTCGGGGCAGCAGGTTTATCCCATCTTAACTCTGCTCCATGCTAAATATTTACATCTGGATGAAATCAGGGGAATGGCACAAATGAGGCTCTGGCTTCCAGACGTCTAATCAAGGAAGAAAAGTTTTGTAATCATAAATTAAATTAAGCATTTTCCTACCAATCAGTAAATTTATGAGAAATGCATGTCTTGCTTTGTAGTGAGTCATACTATTAAAAAAATAAAGCATATGACAGCGTTACCTCAGAGCTTACAGAGGAACAAAAGTGAGTTGGGGACCTGAGGGGTCATTATGCAACCCACCCACTCAAACACAGACAACACTGTCTCCTCCAAGGAGACAATCACATGCCCTCAGGGGTCAACTCCACCTTGACCCTCCTCTACCCCCTCCCACCTCTTGCCCTCCTCCTTAACTCTGATATGTTTCATGCACCCTGAGATGGTTTGATCAGTGTGGGATCAGGAGCATAAACAATGTAGGAGCCAGACTAAACAGACCACACATGTCCTGTAAACACATTCACCCTGAGATTCATAGGTCCGCACGTGCTGGTTTGGCCGCTGTGCAGCAGCAGGAGGTTTAATTCATGCTTTTTGATGCAGAGCATGAACTGGCAGTGATGAAGCTTTCCAGGGAGGGAAGGTGATCTTTAAGTTGCCTGCATGACGATATACAGTGATAAAAAGACAAACTGTATGACATATGTCACCACAGTGTGTGAAGTCGCTTAAATTTCCATTTTTCTGAGCACTTTAAAGGGATAGTTTGGATTTTTTGAAGTGGGGCTGTATGAGGTACTAATCCATAGTCAGAGTATTGCATACAATGGCGGTCTGCGTGCCCCTAGTTTGGAGAAGCAGACAGGAGCACTACCATGGAAGCTAAGTAATGCACTGCTGTGGATGGGGGCAGCAGCAAAACATGTGTTAGCCACCTAAAAAACTTAATATCAGCAAGTGTACTCTGTTTTACCTGCTGTCAGACAACAATTTCCAAGGGCGGGCTGACCTGAAACTGAAACTTATCTATGCTTTCTTTAATGCCAGACTCCATTGACAAAACCAGTAATTTTACCTTGCAGAACACAGGAGCTGCTGGTCTACAGCTGTCTCAGCCAGTTAGTTTGTTGGCGTTATTGTGTTACTCTGGTACTGTAAAGGGTTAGTTCTGATTTAACAAAGTGACACAATAAGACAAAATAAACTACGGATCAATGCAGCGGTGCATCAGCAATTCCTGTGTGTTTTGCAAAGTAAAATAACTGCTTTTGTCAATGGAGTTTGGTGCCTGTGAAAAGAGCAATTTAATGGCTTCAGATTCTCATCGGAAAGGGCTGTCTGACAGCATATACTAATATAGCGTACACTTAAACTGATATTGACTTACTTTTAGGTGGCTATAATATATTTTGCTGCTGCCTTCCATCCATAGCAATACATTGCTTAGCTTCCATGGTGGTACACCTGAATGCTTTGCCACATTGGGGGCCTGCCAACAGCCATCTACTGTAGCTAATTCACTGACTATGGATAATACAAGTCCATGTGGGCAGAAAGATAAACTTATAAGATTGCTTTCCTAATAATTTTGGGTGTGATCGCCCTCAAGGCACTTGTTAAAACGAATGCAGGTAACGCATGACTTATAATGAATTACTAGAAGGTGGATCCAGGCCCATTACGCCTCTACCTTTCCATGATTCAACTTTGGTTTTTGTTAAGGGTTCAAGCCCACAGATCTGACCCGGCTTGCTTCTCTGCTTGAGCTACAGTGACTCATAGATCATAAACACCTACAGCCAACATCAATCCGTCATACCACGCGTGTTTAAACGCGAGATACAAACATCTCCCCGACTGAATTTCTATCTGCAAAATTACTGTGTGGAGCAGTCGTAAACAGTTCCACTCTCTTTCTGCCCCGACTCATGTGGCAGCGCGCTAATTTTCCAGCTGTAATTCGGCTGCATCTGTGTTTGATGCTGATCCCAGCAGAGCAGACGAGAATACTTCCTCCCATCACAGAACAGAGAATGCCCAGGGGCACTGAGCGCTGAGCTGCTCGCTGCAGTCTCCATCTGGGTTGTTGACAGGAGGCCTGACATCATTAACATGACTAAATGAAATGTAATTTGGGTCTTTGCCTTCCCGCTTGGCTCTTAGCACCAGCAGTGATATTGATGATGATGGTGTTGGTGGTGCGACACTTTTAAAGAAGCCTGGAGAATCATGATGACTTTATGACTTTTAAGATACTAAACTTACTCATGAATAGTCATGCACTCACCATACTGTAGCTGCCTAAACAGAGGCCAATCAACCACCATATCATTGACCTCAGCCTGATCCAGCACAGGAATATTTTATGGAATATCTTATGGTATATAATAGAACACCAGGATTTCTCATAGCCTTTTATTTTCCAGTTTTCTTCCCTACATACAAAAATGTTTTTACTTGACACCGTTTGTTTTGAGGCTCTACAAATGTATAATCTGATCGGTTTTAGCCACATCAGTGCTGACTGTGGGGAAGGAGCGGAAGCCGCAGGATATTTCATGGTTTTAGTTCACAATGGACCACTCATGTGTTTCTTATCACTTAAAGTTCAGCTGTACCACAGTCATTTTCAAGGCATGGTTACGCTTTCCTGCACAGCGCGGTCTTGAAAACATCACATCCTTAAGAGGGCTGTCAAACATTTGTTCTGTTTAATCCCCGTTTTGTTGCATGGTTACATGTAAAGACCCCCAAGTAATGGCGGGAAGCTTGAGTTTCTAATTAGAGAAGAAATGTACCCTGCTAATGACATCATCTTCCCCCTGGCACTGTGTTCAAGGAGTTTGTGTGTGTGTTGCTGAACAGCAGCTGGTTTTGGACATGAGAGGTTCACAACAGTGTGAGACTTCAAACACTCACCACACACACAAAGCGTCAGGCTTATAATTTAGCTTTATTGCTCCTTGTCGCCTTGTTTTGGGCCGTTGTGGAGACTGTCTCTGGGAACTTCCTCGCTGTCCGTTTTCAGGAGGAACTGTTTGAAAAAGAGGAAGAACTTGTCAAAGAAAAGCTTCTCAGTTACATCCAGCAGCAAAACAATATATTCAGGCAGGCACCCTGCGATACAGTAAACCCACTCTTACGCAGGACTGGCTGAAAGCAGAGGTAAAACCTACCATCTACTGCATGTGCCCAGCTAGTATTTCTCATGTTTTGTAAACAGCAGAGTGTGGGATCATTTTCATTGAAGCCATAATTTGATGAGCAAAGACATATTTTTCAAACTGATGTAGCTTTTTGGAGTGGAACCTTCACTCACTGGCTCCCCTCTTTAAAGATTTATGAGCTCTCGAAATTTCTTTGAATGCATTTTAGCTTGTTAGCAGAAATCAAAATTTGCACCAAATGTTTGTACCTAACTTTGGAAGTGATATGATCATTATCATAATCAGTCTTGTCATTCTCTGAGGCCTGAAGTCTGCTCTTACATCGCTCCCATCTCCATGGGCTCATAACTCAATCCATAATTCATTGTGGGCAACGAAATCATGAAACATGATCTGACAGATCTCCATCTCCTGACAGTCCCCTGTGTGTGGGTGACAGCTGTGAGAGCAGCCCTTCTCTCCGTTGCTCTCACATCCCCGTAATTGTTCGCAGTCCGACCGGGCGCCTCTGTAGCTCTGCCACATCCCATCACGCTCAACTGTCGCAGCGCTGTCTGCTCAACCGTGAGGAAGATGACACAGGTCTGGACATTCCCTCCGACGCAGGAGGGGGGCCGTCGACGTAGCTCCACAAACTGTTCCGGCTGCTCCAGATGTTTTCTGATTCTGACAGGCGGCGAGGGAGGAGAGGAAAGGAGGAGGAGAAGAGGGGCAAACGGCAGGGGTCTCTTTCCGTGCCACTCTGGGAGGGGGGGCTGTTTGCCGCGAAGCAGGTCGGTCGATCAGTAATGAGAGAGGACAGCTGGCAGGTTCAGGGGAGGTTAACAGCTAAGCGTAGATGGCAGCGAGGAAAAACAGAGGAGCTCAGTCGAGGGTCTTTGTGTTTGAGATTTTTGGACTCTTTTCTTGTAGTCGGAAAGTTTTTGGAGGAGTTATGCTTGTTGGAAGTTTTGTGTTGGAAAAGCTGCAAAGGTTAATGTTGGATTTAAGGCCCTGAAAAACCTAGCAGGCTATTTTACACAAGAGATTTCTGTTTCTGTCCTTGTGATCCTCACTGGAGAAAGTGGAGCAGACAGGACTGGAATCATTGTCACATA